TTATATTTACGGATAGTGCTTTATATATATATATATATATATATATATATATATATATATATATATATATATATATATATATATATATATATATATATATATATATATATATATATATAATATATATATATATATATATATATATATATATATATATATATATATATATATATATATACTCGTATATATGCTTGTTGTGTATTTGTTATGCTTATGGCAGGATCACTGTAGTTTCACTGTTGCAAGGGACACGCCATTAACCGAAAGTCACATTTATTGAAGCACGCACACGTAACATACAAAATCAATGAGATTACACATTACATATCCGGAAAGATACACTACACTAAACTTTTGATATTCCTGCCGAATGCCAATCATATGTTCCCTCACTGCATAGATTTTGTAAAGGATGGCGGTCTTAAATAACAAAACAATAGCGTAATTATGCAGAGCTGGTAATACAAATACACATTCTAACTGTTTAGAATAATAACTGACAAATAAAATAAGAGACCCAGGGGCCACATCGCTCACCTGACTACTTTGGCTAGGAAAAAGCAGAAATCAGTTCAGTCTTGAAAAGTTTAAATATAAAAGAACTTACTTGATCCTACACTAGTCTTCCTAAGGATGCTTTTGAATTAATATGACACAAAATGGCTGTTGCTGATTTTTCCTATGTATTCCTATTTAAAACTCTGATCACCCCACTGTGGCCCCAACCTACCCCACGGGGTCATGATTTGAACAAACTTGAATCTACACTACCTGAGGATGCTTGCATATAAATATAACCAATCATGGCTTTGTTGTTCTTGAGAAGAAGATTTTTCCTATGTATTCCTATGTAAAAAATTGATCAACCATTGCGGGAGTCACGGGGAACAAACTTGAATCTACACTACCTGAGGATGCTTGCTTATAGATATGACCAATCATGGCTTTGCTGTTCTTGAGAAGAAGATTTTTAAAGATTTTTTCCTATGTGTACTTATGTAAAACTTTGATCGCCCATTGTCGCCCCACCCTACCCCATGCGGTCATGATTTGAACAAATTTGAATCTACGCTATCTGAGGATGCTTCCATATAAATATGACCAATCATGGCTTTTCTGTTCTGAAGAAGAAAAAGATTTTTCCTATGTATTCCTATGTAAAACTTTGATCACCCATTATGGCCCCATCCTACCTCTAGGGGTCATAATTTGAACAAACTTGAATCTACCTCACAATGATTCCACATAAGTCTCATATTTTCAAGCACAGTGGTTCTTGAGAAGATGGTTTTTAAATGATGCCATGAATTTTTCAAGAATTCTTGATTATCCCCCCTTGGAAGAAGGCATGGCCCTTCATTTGAACAAACTTGAATCCCCTTTTACCCAATACACTGTGGAAAGTTTGGTTTAAATTGGCCCAGTGGTTCTTGAGAAGAAGATGAAAATGTGAAAAGTTTACGACAACGACGACAGACAACGGACAAATTTCGATCAGAAAAGCTCACTTGAGCCTTCGGCTCAGGTGAGCTAAAAAGCAAATCATCTTCTTAAATCATAATAGATTCAGCATAATGAAATAAATAGAAGATATGCAGACCATACTCTTACAAAAAAACATTAATATTAATTTTAATCAAAAGCGTATTAATCATCGTTGAATTCAGAAGGGACCGGGGATGGAGGGTAATTAGAATAATACCTGTAGTTTGAAAAGGTGACGGGATCTTTACTATTTACCTTTTCTTTGATTATCAAAGAATACGATTGTTTAAAGCTTTGCTATAAATTAGCAAGTTACCATTTCTGTACTTCCATCTTCTGACATGACTACACTATCAACACCCACACCTTTGTCCGGTAATAATACACATCTATACCTTCATCTTTCAATCTATAATTAAATTAGAACTAGCTCATATTTCTTTATTAATTGAAAAGCATTTAAGGAATTGATTCTTTAAGCACTTTTCGTCATAATGCTGCATTTGTCGTTGATAAATCCGTAAAGAGAGTACACTATAGAAAGTGTTTTCTCTTAATGGATTTATCAACGAAATTGAACACTGAATTGTTGCCTTTGACGTCACAGCAATATTACACCGAAAACTTATTGAAATATGCATATTGTCGTATTTGAATTTCAACTCTCAATATCGCATAAAATATGCTTACAGCAACGTTTATAGTATTCAGTATTTCAATAAACAAGGCTGTAGATAATATTTTTTTCAAAATATTGATTTTTTAAAGAGCATGCGATAAGTCCTTTAAGGTTGATACTTTCGTCTAATGGAGGATGGTTGAAACATATCACAACTAATTTTGAGAATTCACGGGAAAGTGTTATTATGAGCACCTTCTTAAAACATACATGTGAAATTTAATGTAACCAGGCTTCTAGGGGGGGGGGGATGCGACTATAATATTTTGACGCACCAGATTTCGACAAATTATGTCTCTTCAGTGATGCTCATGCCGAAACTTTGGAAATTCGAAATATTTAAATTAAAAAAAAACTTTGAAAAGCTGAAAAAAGGGGTGCCAAAGACTGGAGCCAAATACATCGAAGGATCAGAGCTATGCATGTAGAGTATATGAGTGAAAAGTACAGGCCCGTAGGAAGCAATTTCAGTTTGTTTTTTTTTAGGGGGGGGGGAGGCACAGCCAATCATTTTTCAGTTGACAGTTGAGGGGGCACTACCAAAAATTAAAAAAAAAGGGTCATCAACTACCAAAATTCCTTGAAAAGCTAAAAAAAAAAAAAGGTCATCAGCCGTTTTTATTGAAGGGGCACAAGCATATATTATCTATGTTTACTATAGTAATCTATATATCGGCAAATTTATTGGGGGGGGGGGGCTGTCCCCCCCGTTCCTACGGCCATGAAGTGACAATGTTTGAGAAAACTCCTTGAAGGTGATATATATTCTCTCCTCTTAGTCTAATTCCACTTACGGATCACCAATAATTTGTCTTTGAAAAAGACAAATATACGTAATTGCTTTTTTGCAAAAAATATTAATTTTATTTTATTGCCTCTTACACATCTTTCCATGTATACTATAAAAATTTCCTTCCCATTTTTTTTTACATTCATAATTATTATTTGCTAAATAGTTCGGGTGGCTATTAATCAGTAAAATGCTCTATTATTAAATCAATATATAAAATTCTTTTTTCCCCTTTACTTCTATATTATTTTTAAAAAAATCAAATGGCAATTTTTTCTCCAAAACTTTTCCCAGTACAAAATGGTCCTCTCTTAATGCAGTCTTCCACTAGTCCCTTTCAATCTCATGTCCTATACTTTACTAATACCGGTGTTACCATCTAAATGATCTTTTCTAAGTATAATTCTAGTTTTCAGTTATCTTTTCCCTGCATTATATAAAAAAGTTAGAAAAGAATTAAGATTTAGAAAAAAATAGCAACTGTACGTATTATACATCCCAAAATTTGAAAATTATCAAAAGTTTTACATTTTATAATTTCAGACAATGAAATTCACCGACAAAAAATTGCCTCAGTGATATTTATCACCAAGATGTTAAACTCGATATAAGATTCATTCATGAATGTTGTTTTACCACAATCTCTTTATTCAACAGATCGGGTACACTACCTTTTATGGAAGACAATTTTAAACACATGACGATGTTTTCGTCAAACCCATTCGCAAATCAATTGAATGAGTCGCAAAGCATGACGGTCTACTACGTGTTTACGATTCAACAGCGACACGTGGATTTCGTAGGTTTTTTGCATTATATTTACTTGGTCAAGGAAAAACTGTACTTCTTTTTTACTTTATTAGGGTGAAATTGAAAGATTATATTCCAAAGACACTGTTCTATGCTCACATTTAATATGGAGTTGTTTTAGAAGAATAATAGTCGATTCAAATACCGTACAAACGCTTTGACTTTGCCTGCACATAAAACATTTTGATGATATTGAGGAGTTAAATAATAATAATAATTGAGCAACTTGTACTGCTGTCTAAAATTATGTACATGCATGTATACCACGTGAAAAAACAAACTCAGTGGTTTATCGACACAATAGCACTTAGTCTCTTCGAACAATAGTTTACGCCGATGTATTACAAGTTGATATAAGGCTTCATGAAGCAAATTTTGTAAATGTGAGCATAGAAATGAAAGATTATACATCACTTTCAATATTTCTTTCATCAATATAAAAAAAAAATTGCAAATGAGTTTCCAAGGGACAATTAAAGTTGCTCCTCATTTTCAACACAACCGAGTTCGTACTGATACTTGTAGTAGCCCACAATGCATTGCGACTCATTCAATAGTCGGTAAAGTAAACAGATAGCTAATTTACATGCAAATTTATGCTGACGTCAGAAAATCTAGTGGCCTCGACCTGTTCAACCGAACTCTAATCTATTATCTAACAGGTGAGCCGAACGTTAAAGAAGCGAAACCAAAATGTTGCTTTGACATAACATGCATGAAATTTCCTCGACAAAACAGGCTCGGTTGTGCTTCTTATGAAAGGGTTGTTGAAACCGAGAAGGATCATTTTTCAGACATGAATTACATTGCTCTTATGCAGTGTGCAATGAATACGTTTACAGATTTATATCAAAACATCTTCAGCTATACATTTGCAATACTCATGTTATGAGTCATTAAATTATAAATCGAACTTTCTGAAAATACATTACCTGCATTGCTTAAAAAAAAATAAATATGAATACTGATTATACATCTCAGGTTAGAAAACCGCAATCTAAAACATAACGTATAAAGTAGTATCTCAAGTCAATGTTTTCAACAGTGTTTAAACAAACATAAAAACCATTACAATTTTCCGTCCTCTGTTAAGAATGCAAAATTAAATATTGTTTATCGAATTAATAATTTTCCTATAATGGTAGGTTTCTAAACGCACTGGACTAGAGGATTTATTAATGTACCATTCCTCCATACATTGCAGTGCTAGAGGCTGGTAGTCATGATAAAACTTACTGGCAAATAATTCTTTTTCTGATACTAGTTTATTTAAATCACCAATTCCAAACACACAGACGTCTCTAACATATTTTCCATGGCAATCCATTGACCCTTGCCAAGTCACACTTGCTGCTATCCATAATTTTCTGTCTGGAAATCCTGCAAAAAATGCTTACTATGAAATTCCATCTGTTATGCTAATGGTTTACTATAGTTAAAACTATAAAAAAAAAATTGTAGGGGATTCAAAGTTTAGAATATTGTCGGTAAGGAATACTAAGTAATGCACAAGAATGAATTAGGGCTGTTTGAGATTAAATAAAGATTTTATCTAATACACTTAAGCCAACGTCTAAAATGCTAAAATATTGATGAGATGCAAAACCTTTCAGGCTGATAGAAATAAAAACACAAGGTAAACAGAAAAATACATGCTTTGGAGAATATACATGTATGTATCATCTAAAATTTCCATATTCCTTGGGTTTTGTTTTTTGTTGTTGTTTTTTTTTTGTTTTTGTTGTTGTTGTTGTTGTTTTTTTATTTAATTAACATGAATTAAAAAAAGATCAACTGAATTGTTATTAATAGATAATCTAAATTCGATGAATAATTACATGGATGAATGTGTAACTGTTACTGTGAAGACGAGCATTTGATTAAGAGGGATGGAAAGCGGGGATTAAACTATTATAATGAAAAAAATGAGCAAGCTTATATACCCCATGCTCCCACATTGCTTGGCAATGCTTCACTTGATGAATGGCAATTTTATATATTAAAAACAACAAATAATTACCACCCCCTCCCGCCCCCCGACAAAGAATAAAAATATTAATTCTGAATTTCATGTGAGTATACACATCTACACAATAGTAACGACGACGGACCTAATTTATTTCTACAATCGATTTTTTATTCAAATTTTAATATGAGGTAAAGTAACTTTACCTTTATTGAGTTAAAATCAATAAAAAAAAATCATATGGTCAACGATGTAGATTTTTAATGGGGAGCGTTTCAAAAGTTGGCGATGGAATCGATAATTACTATAGGAAGTAATGGGAAATTGCCAGTGAAGGGTATAAGAGTGATCATTGAAAAAAAAATTCTGCAATAGAATTTTTATTCATATCAAAGGACAATGATATCAAGACAATTTACCAGCAAATTATGTCAAAAAAATAAATGGGTCATCGGCTTAGATTTTTCAGGGGGGCATGTCAGACTCAGGTGTAGTGCACATTTTGGTGGAAATTTTCAATGAAAATACCTTGGCCAAATAAATCATTTATTTATAAAATTATCAAATGAATATAAATCAAAATATTTTTGAATTGAGAGGAAACGTTTGATATAAATCAAAATATTTTTGAATTGAGAGGAAACGTTTGCAGATCTTTAAAAGAATAAAAATGTATATTTTTTTATCTTTTGCAATGCATAATTATGTCAATTTGATTCATGGCATATGCCCGGTTTTCTGCGCAGTGGCGCGAAATTTCGAATTAGGTCCAACGTTCTTAACTACAAAGTGACGTGAAATTCTGTTGAGTTTCAGAAAAGTGACAAACTGCTTTAGTAGTATATATAAATTTGGTCAAACTTCTAAGTTCAAAAGGAGCATGACTCCCGGAAATAAATTGGAACTGGAATTTCCTGCAAATATGCACATTTACATATTATGTCCGTATTAACTGCAAAGTTTCACAAAATTCTGTTGAGTGGTATCAGGGGAGTTGCAAGCACTGATGAAAGACAAACTTCTATGTTCAAAAGGGGCATAACTCTCAGAAAAAAAAAATTATCGGAATTTTCTGCAAATATGCACATCTACACAATATGTCCTTATTAACTACAAAGTTTCACAAAATAAAGTTTATGTGCCCAACAACTACATCGTGAGACCAGATTTAAAAACAAAATATGCTCAACTGATTTCAGAATGACTGAATGATTCTATTATGTTTACTACATTTCAGGACCGAATAATAATAATAATAATAATAATAATAATTTCCAAAAACCTACAAAAAGTGTGCCCAACTGATTCCAAAATAATTATATCTTTTCAAATATCAGGACCCTTTGTTTTAAATTCTAAAAACTGTCCATCTTTAAATGTTCTTCACCTTGCAATAATATAATTATTCTGTATATTCCTGTAACATACCTAGTACACCGGGGACATTTAGATGTTTATTGCTAGCCAGCGTCGCCCAAAAGAATTCGTCAGGGCTATATGTGTCATATAACCAATCTAAAATAACCTGAGCTTTGTCATCATTTATTGTATAATTCACAAAGCTCCAACTAAAAACACCATAAGCGCTTCCCTTTCCTACAGTGATGTTAAAAGATGGTGGGTCCTTTTTCTTTCCTGTTGCCTCCATTTTACCATTTTTCACCGAGTAAGATTCATTGCATCGATAATATGATTACTCATCGTAAACGCTCTCAATGCTGCTAATGCCATTATAATTTTTCAAAATCTTAACAATTTCTGCGTTCGTTTTCAAGGGGTATACTTGGGATGGTAAATTGATGACATATTGCCATTGAATATCAGTTTGATTTAGTAAATCGGACATACAGTTTAAGTCCGCCCTTAGTCGGGAAAATCCGGCGTATACAACATCCTCTAATTTTGAAGCAATGAAAACATTGGGAAGGCAATTCGAGATGGATTCCAAGGCGTATAACAAAGTAGCATTGGAACGCTTGTCCACGTGTATACAATAAATATTATGTGATCGATAAATTGTTCGGAGCAATTTTTCTGTTTGGGTGGCATCCTTGTGAGTTAATATTGTGTAAGCAATCGGTAAATCAAGCTCATCTTGGGATACGACGAAATTGTCATAACTATGTACTTCAAAGAAACTTTCACAGTTTTGAGCTAAATCTCCCATTTCAGTATCTGTTGGGAATTCGTATGTTCTGTGTGACATTGTATTATTGACCGCTGATATGTACTCTTCGTCCCCCTCAATTATTCGACGACAATCAAAATCATGAACCACACTCTTAGGGCCTGACCTTAGAGGAACTGGAGTTGAGGGCTCGGAGGTGATATGGTAAAGTCTGTCTATTTGTTTGCATGGTATACTGATCATTCTGAATTCTATGTACCGACACATGGCAAAAATCACAGCGATAACTACACAACTTCCTAGAAAGTTCCGATATGTCAGAGTCATTCTTTTAGGGGAAACAACAATGCATGAATTTACAAAAAAAAAAAATCATAAAAAAATTCTTAGAGATATAATTTAATTTGTGTTTTATAAATTATTAAGTACTTTATTACACATCAAAATAAAAAACCTAACACATTGCTTTATTCAATTTAGAAGACGCCATCTTCCCAAATAAAAAAAAACCCAGATCTCATTCAAAAAGTTTCATTAACTAAGATTCACTTTTGATACATCAGCCAGTAACAGACTTTTTATGCGCTGTAGTGGGCAATGATATTGTAAAATCTACTACTGTTATAATAAAGCATTAATGATTACTTTGTATAAAAAAAATTATATATTTACATCCCTTAATGATATTTTTGTGTGATTTTCACATTCACTCACGAATTTGTACTTAAATTCTTATCAAAAATATATATTGTATTGAAAATTAATAACGATATAGCTATATAATAAATGGATGGAGATATATATATATATATATATATATATATATATATATATATATATATATATATATATATATATATATATATATATATATATATATAGGAAAGCATATTCCAAACTTCGTCATCGGTATCATAAATTGATTTAAATTATTATGCTGAATAAATGGTAGGACAAAATCTTCTTTTTTTAATTTATACAACTAAAATAATGTCTTCCTAAATAGTTTTGTATTATCGTATCATCTTGATATAAAATAGGAATTTATATGAGGAAAGTAAAATAAACTTCATAAACTGAATAGCCTTTAATCAAAAAAGTTGTACTAAATCAGTGAAAATATGTAAATTAAGTTATAAAATTATGGTAATTGAAGTGAAATAATATTCCACTGCAAAGAGAGACATGGAACAATCTCAATCCTTTAAAAATCGCCTAGTGAATCACCAAAGTATGCAAAATGTGAATATTAATGCAATAGCTTTTTTATTGTTTTGTCCAAATGCAATATGTTAACCTAGCTGATGTTGATCAAGTACATGAAATGCACTAGCAAATTATATACCATTGTGTATGTTCATCATGTCTGACAGATTTTTTCTTCGTTTTTTTTCATGTACATACTTATATTTTTCTAATATGTCGACATATTGTAGAATTTTACTTGCTATTGAGCAAATCTATGCTTCTGTCCTACCTGATTAAAACTGTTCACATTTTCAGGAATCCAGTCCTTTTGTAAATAGGTAATACTTCCATAAATCTAAATAATGTTCATATTTTCGCGTATTACAGTGGTTACCGCATGCAACATGCACCAAATTCGATACATAGGAGGTGACCCATTTTTGCGCACGGCATGTAACGTTAGAAAACATGATCATTAACCCGTTTTGCATCTTAAATGCACATTATGCAACGCATTTAAATACGACACCCTAGACTCCAAAGGGCAAGGTTTGTAAATCAAAGAAGCCTACAATTTTCTCAAACTTTAGAATTGAATTCTTATAATGAAGCTTGATTAAATAACGTGTATCGGGCACACAATTTCGGTAAACGCAACAAAATAATGTTTTAAACTGTAATTTTATTGAAAATATGAAGAAAAAAATCAGCTATGAAATCGGGACATATCACAAGAATAAAATGTATCCAGATTGCCGACCGTCACTCAGAAAACGGTGATTTATATCTTCTTTACAATAATAATACAAAATTGAAAATGGAGATCTAGATTACTTTTCACATGATTTCTAAATGAATGCCATAAAATGCGTTATTTTCAACACAATTTAGAGATAACTGTAAAGGAAGGGAAAAAGAAGTTTGAATTATGACGTCATTATGGATCTGGCACTAAAAGGCTATCTAGTAATTTACTCGATCTCCATGCGCACCTACATTAAATAAGTTGCATAAACTGCTTTAGGTACGACGTCTCCCCCTCTTAGCTTTGCACCGGAAATTTTTTTCTGAATTTGCAAAAGCATTACAGTCCCACAATATGATAATTTGTCCCACCGTTGTTGATAATTGTAACTGAAAAGAATTCATCGAACCTTTTTTTAATTACTTTAATTATATGATTTTATTTTAACCTTTAATTTTTATTCCATGAAAGTACTTCGGGGAAATACTTCTGGAAAAAGTTTATTCTGTGAATGAGAGAATATGCGTTTCAAATAAGAAATTTTATATTATTGATTTAATAAATTATATATAAGGAGAGCGTGTAAAGATAGAATTTTAACTTGGTTGGGAAAATAAGGGTTTTTTCTACCAGTCGGTCATATACGTCACTCTGTCAACAACGAACAGTTCATTGTAAGGCGGAGCTTCAATTTTCAGCGAGAAGCAAATAAGAAGCGTAAATTTCACCACTCCTTACGAAACAAACAAGCATTCCCCAAGCTTCAATAAGTTTCATTATATCTTTTTTTAAGATAAAATGCATGTGTGTCTTGTTCTTGTTTCATCATATTATACACATATTTGACGTTATGATTATGCTGTCGATACACGTTAAAATATATATGCAATCTTTTAAAGCCTAAAAAAGTTTTGAATTTATATACAAGGGTAGGTATCCAAGGAAACAAATATTTTTCATATTTATATGCATACTGAAAGGAAAAAGAAACGCATATTTTTAATTTATCTACTACAACTGTGTCTGATCATGGTTAAAATAGTTTTGAATTTATTTGGGCTTTAAATAATATCCAGAAATGGATAGAAAATTACTCAACCATGATTCTGGTGTGTTCGGCGTAAACAGGTATAGTTTGCCTATAAGCTTTTGGTTGAAAGAAATGTAGCTAGAATTTTGGATAAATTTCATCTATTTTTGAAATCTCCAATGATTTTTTTTTAAAATCCCCGGTGAGAATTTAAACAGATTTTGACCCGAAAGGATGCCATGCCTTACTTAAATTCTAAGATTCTGGTTGTTGCCATGCTAATGCAAAGATACCATCAGAATGAAATTGCTGAGCAATTTAATATGTCACAAACTGTATCGCGTCTTGAACGAAGACTAATGTTAGGAGAAAGCATTAAAATCCGGCCAAGAAGCGAACGTCTTCAGGGGAAACCTGACTTCCGGTCTTATATATCCGTTTAATCTACCAACGGAACAGACTTCGAAATGCAAGTGAAACTAATAGTAACATTCACGTATACCGCAATGACAGAATTGGAGAGAAAACTGTATGCCAAAGACTCGTAGATGCAGGCCTCAAAGCATGCAGGTCATCCTTTTACAACCAACAATGTACGCACTCAGAATGGTCACCATTTAGTTAAAATTCTTCAGTAGAGCAATTTGGCGCAAAATGTTCGACGGACCTGACTTTGAAATCCGATCTCAAACACCACCAATGAGCTGAGGCAAGCTGTTATGGAGGAGTGCAATCTCATCCCTATTCAAAGAATGAACCATCTGATCAATTCCATGCTCAAAATGATACCAGCTTTTGTAAATGCGGCATGATGACATACGCGATATTGACTTTCGAAATTAGGAATTTTAAAATTCAGACCTCTACTCCCTACAATCAACAATTGCGGTGCTAAAATGTCATTTGATTCGATATAATACCTATGATTATGACACTTATGAATAACATAAGATATTACATTAAATTGTATGTGGATATCATTGTGTCGCATAGTAATAAATGCTAACCTTATACATGTATAATTATCTAGATATGCGTTTCTTTTTCGAATGTAGAAATTTAGACCATACTATTGCCTTTGAATAATGCTTTACAGTCATATAGAAATGTGATCTGTAATAAGATAGGACCTGATGAAAACATACAGATAGTTAGGCCAATTTGAAATTACTTTTCGGTATTACAACCTTAGCAACATTTGCCAACGAATGATAAAATATAACACTTCTTCCTTAGAATATTTTACAAGGATCTTTTCTGTTATTTTGGCTATTTTTCAACTTATACAAATTTTTTTGATATTTTTGCACCTGCCTGTTTCAATTCATAAATTTTGTAAGAACAAGCTAATATAAGAAATGTGTCCTTTAAACATTTTTTGGTAAAATTTAAAATATTTTATGAATTACGATTGGTTGAATGTTTGATTTAATTACTGAGTTACAATTGATGTACGAAATTGTTTATGATATATGTATAGCTCTTCAGTTATTCATTAAAATTTGTTCGAAACAATCACATTGTTTTACTTTCC